CCCCCCCCCCCCAGTGGGTCTACTTCATAGGGGTCCCCCGATGACCACTGCCCTGCCCATTACCCTGCTGGGGGAGAAGTGGTTTCAGAGCCGCAGAAGGTCCTGTGAGTTTTAACAAGACTTGCGTGGAGGGGCCTGTGGGTAAGACGTTCTAAACCTGTCATTTCTAAAACCTACTGTGGCTCTGGCTCCATCATGTGGCCGGAGGAGCATGGATTGCTGAATGCCAGTGACCTTCAGGATGATGTGGTGAGCAGAGAGTACAGCTCTGGCTCAGCCTGTCCTGGGTTTTTGTCTTAGCTCAGCACTCACTAGCTTTGTGATCTCATGCAAGTGTCTCCTCCATTCATGAGCTGGTACCTCCTACTTAGCAGATTGGTTATAGGAGGAGTAGATAGTACACACATGAAGCATCTGGCCCATAGTAAGGATGGCTGCTCTGATCATGTCCACTGCTTATCTAACCCACACCCCACTGTGCAGGTGAAAGGCCCAGGGAGAGGGCAGGGCTTTACCTATCCTACCCCACCCCACTCCAGCCCTCACCCCCAGCAATTGAGCAGGCTTGGAGATCCTGACTCTGTTCTGGTTCTTACTCTGCCTTGGTGATGGATACAGGTCTGTGGGCCGGGGCAGGCCAGCAACTTCCTGAGGCACTCGGGTTTGCCTTGAAAGAACACAGGCTCTCAGCAGACCTTCTGGCCTTCCTGAGCTCAGATGGCCCTTTCATGGGGTTAGCTGTCATTTGGCTTGGCCCCGTTGGAGAAATGTGGCTCCTGGAAAGTTACCTTCAGTTCTAAAAGGCTGCCTGGGCCAGGGCAGGTGGTGGGGGAATGGGATGCTCGGCTGGGCCTCCTCAGAAGTGGGCCAGTGGCTAATCCTGGTGGATGGGGTCATCTGGAAACTGATCTGTGGCCACCAGGCTTTTCTAAGAGGCTCCTCCCTAAAGTCTGAGTAGAGTCCCTGATGCCAGGACGGCCACCCAATGGTAGTCATTGTGCTTTGGCCTGGCTTTCTCACCGCAGTGACCAGAGTCAGGTCCTAGAAGTTTGTGTGTGTATGAGTGTGTATGGGGTGGTGGGTATTTGTTGGTATGGGGGTGCCTGTGTACGGGGGGGTGTAGAGTGATATTATTTTGCTTATAGCTGCCTTTCAGGTAATAATAGCTAATGCCTTTATAGCTATCAGCTTTGGTCAGTATGAGGTCTCCACTTTTTAGATGAGATAACTGAGACTTGAAGGTAACATGATTCAGTCCCAGCGCAAGAGCCAGACGTTGCCTGGTGCCAGCCTCTCTGCTCCCCTCATAACTATCACCTGGTCTCTGATTTAGAGGGAGCTCAGCTTTTGAATCCTCAGGCTTGTAAGTCTTTGCAGCCACAGGCTGATGGCCCTGAGCTTCGGTTCAAACCAGAGCCCTTTGTTCTTAGAGGCCAGGAACTCCCCAGTGACCCTGAGGCACAACGAGGAGCCCTGCAGGGCTGCGTTCCCAGGTTGCCCTCATCTCCCTGGCCCCTCCTTTCTGCTCTTGCACCGGCTTTGCTACCATTCTCTCTGATTCTGCCTCTGCCCCTGAATAGAAAAATGCCTCAGCTGTACTGATTCCCTCTTGCTAGCTGGGGGAGTGTCTTGTCTTTGGGTGAGGCCTATTGGTGCAGGTCAGTGTTTGTGTAGGTGCAGGGCTCCCCTCCCAGCTTCTTGCACCTGTGCACAGAGGAGTGGGAGGTTTTGAGAGGAGAGTGGCAGCCAAGGCACCCTTTCTGCTGCATATCTTGGCTGCTTTCCAGAGTCACTCACCTTAGACACCTAGTAAGTGTATCACTAAGACTCCACAGTCTGGGGACAGCCTCAAGAAGACTTGGCAGCTTATTGTGACATTGTCAGTGTGGCCGTCATCTGAAGTCAGTGTGCATGCAGACGCCCACACAGGGTAGGCACCTGCTACACACTCAACTCATAAAACTTTTCTTACTGAGACTTTCTTACAAGAGTAATGAAAGTGGAGTGAAATGACACTGTCAGTACCTTCTCCAGAGTAGTTTGTTCTAGAAACTATTTGACTTTTCTGCATATCCTCCAAGGAGCCTGGGTCTGGTTTCCTGACAGAATGTGCACAGGGACCTCAGGGCTATGACCACCTGCTGTCTCTGCTCTTCTGCTTCCAGGGCTCCTGGGGCTGGGCTGGGCCCCCAGTGCATGGGCCTGGATAGGGCTCAGCCAAGCAGAGTGTTCTGCTCTTGGCTCCAGGTCTCTCCTCTCTTGCATGTTAACGTTCCTGTCTCAGCCCCTCTAACATCCTCCTGGCAGCTTGGATTTCTCCCTTGTCCTCCTTTCTCTCTGGTTTTAGCATCTCCAGTTCATACTCCTTGGGACTCTGCTGATGTTCTCCTCTCTTCTAGGAGGGACTTCAAAGCCAAAGCCAGAGCCAGAGCAGGTGATAAGAAACTATACTGAAGAGCTGAAAACAGCCCTGGATGAGGTAGGTGTCACAGGAGCCATGCTGCTTTTAGTTTTGTTTGGAAACAAGGGGCAGCTCCAGATGAGAAGGACGCCAACCTGGTTTCTGCTAGTAGGCTAGTAGGGCACCACTGGATGCCAACCCCATGCTCTGGGCACTTGGGTTTAATCTCCCATCCTCCCTAGGAGGCAGACCTTACCAAGATGAGGCTGCTGTAGCTTTTAAAACTTGGATTTCAATCTTAGCTTTGTCACGAACAAGTGTGATTCTGAGAGAAGCTTCTTTCTTACATTGGCCTCTGTGTAGTCCTGTGCGATCCTGGGGGTCAGGAGTCCTAGAGACAAGATGGGAGAGCCTGCCCCACTCTCTGAGGGCTGACACTGGTGTAGAAGGGAATTGGTCTTGTCCAGATAGCAATCCTGTCCCTCTGGATGCTGGGAGAGCAGGTCAGGGTTCCTGTAATTGACAGGGCCTGCCAGACCCCTGTAAAAGCTTCAGTAGGACCCGAACCTCTCTCTGCTGAGCCACATTTTAGAGGCTACAAGTGCCACTTCCCTCTGATTTGAATAGAGAGTCCTGGAGAATCTGGAGGAAGTGGGCTAAATGACAGTCCTTCTAGTACTGATAGGCCTCTTCACTGGCCTGTTTCTCCTGCCAGTTGAGTACGTGAGAAACATGTAGTTGGTAAAGGTTTAGACAGAAGCCTGAGAGGCATCCTTGTGTCTCCCACCCTCTCTCCAGCCCTCTCTGCTTCCACTTCACAGCACTCAGTCTTTGTCTTTGCCCTTGTGCTCATCAGGCACAACTGGGCTGCTTTGCCCCCAGCCTCTTCAAACTGCCATCTATACAACCAACACCAGCTGTGATCATGGTAGCACCCCCTGCTTAAAACCCCTTAGAGGGGCCCTGATATATAAGACAAAGTCCTGACTCCTGAGCATGATCAGAAGCTTCCAGGATCTGGTCCTCGTCCTGTCTTATTTCATCTCCTACACCCTGTCCCCCTGCCCCCTGCCGGTGCTACTGCCCCTCCCAAACTATATGTTGGTTCATGCTTTAGATCATTCTCTTCCGTGTACCTGGAACGTCCATTCCTGTGCTTGTCCATCTGACAAGTTCCCCTTTCCCTTGTAAATCCAGCTTGGAGGGCCTCCTGTTTTCCTTCTTTGTCTGGCTGTTCCTGCTGCTGTATTGGCCTCTGCTTCTGTTACTGCACTGGCCCCTGGGTTCATGGTAAGCCCCTGAGGGCACAGATCCCAGTGATTCATCTGTGTTCCCAGCCTCTAGAACAAATGACTGTTGAATTGACTTCAACTGTAACTAGCATTTCAGCAGATGTAGTCCTTTTCGTACAAGTCTTGCCTCTGGGTGCAATCTCTTTTGGTGAGCATTCTGTTTGGTCCCCCTCTAGGACTGCAACATCTGTATGGAGAAACTGTCCATGGTGTCTGGGTATAGTGATGTGACCAACAGCAAGACCATCGGGCCAGTGGCTGTGGGCCGCCTCACCAAGTGTAGCCATGCCTTCCACCTGCTCTGCCTGCTGGCCATGTACTGCAATGGGAACAAGGTGCCTACATGCTGACCCAGGGTGGGGGCCAGGGGTGACCGTGTCCCTGTCATGCATCTTGAGCAAGTGACTGTAGCTGCTCTGTGAAGGACCTGGAGTGTGCTCAGAGGCAGCCCCTGCCCTACACCAGGTCGGGGGTGGGAAGCTGGGGGGCTGGGGATGGTAGGCAGCACCTGGCTGCTTCCTTCAGTGGAGTTTAGCCAGAATGGACAGAGGTTGGGAGTATGGAGAGAACAGAGTCACGTGACAGACCTTCAGGCGTGGCTCAGCCTTTCTCCGCAGTATCCCTGTGTATCCTGTCTCAGCTAGGGTGCCAGCAGCAACAGTTGATCAGGCACAGGGTTTCCTGTTTGATTTGAAATGTGATTAGATTGCGGGGACTTTTGCTCATAAATCTGATTTTTCTACCTGATGCCAGTCTCCTGGTACTTTTCCTCCTCTAATAAAATTGTGTAGCGAGTTTCTGGTACAAAACTTATCTTTCTAAGGAAGTTGTAGAATCAAGTTTCTGTGTGAGGAGGCTGCCTGGGAGTTGGGCCATCTGCCAAGAACCTGATGCTTGACGGCAGCCGACCTGTCCCCCTGTAGGCCTCCTTCCCATCTAGATGGCGGGTGGCTGCTTATGTGCTCTCTCAGGGCTGCCAGCTCAGTGTATGGCTTTCTGCTTTTTCTCAGGATGGAAGTTTACAGTGTCCTTCCTGCAAAACCATCTATGGAGAGAAAACTGGGACCCAGCCTCGGGGGAAGATGGAGGTGTTTAGCTTCCAGGTGTCCCTCCCTGGCCACGAGGACTGCGGGACGATACTCATAGTTTACAACATTCCTCATGGCATTCAGGTAAGGGCGCCCTGGCACGAAAGGAGCCTCCTCAGATCTTTCTGGAATCAGTCCCACTCCCAGCAATCTGCCCCCGATCACTGTGAGGATGTCCAGGTTGCCAAGCTTAGGCCTCCAGGAACCAAGAGGCACTAGTGCTGGGGTTACAGCAAGCTCTTAGGGCTGTGGAAGCAAAGAGATAACCCTTAGCCCTTTTCTGAGATAGGGAAGACTTCCTGGAGGCGGAGACATCTTAGCTGGATTTGTACTGAGCAGAAGGCCTAGTGTATAAGCAGGAAGAACACTTGTGTTGAGGAACAGGAACCCTCTTGGGGGCTACAGGATGGGGTGGGGAGGTGCCAGCAGTGAGGACTGATCAGTGGCCAGATTAGGCTGGGTAGGGAGTGGCAGAGCTGGGCCTGGATGTCAGGAACAAGGCAGGGATCCAAGCAGAAGACCCCAGGATTCCAGTGGAGACCCAGACAAGAGCACTGGCCCCTTAGGCCTCCTTCCTTGGGCCAGGGTTGATCTCAGAGCCTGGAGCGGTTTGGGAAGATACAGAGCAGTAGGGACCAGGAGCCTGACTGGGCCCATCTGGCACAGATGGGGCGTCCCTCTATTTTGTTTAATCATGTGCTCTTCCCTGGTTTCCTTCTGCTTCTCCTTGGCTCAGAGTGAAATTTTAAAACATTCTAGATGAGGTTGGAACCATAAGGCTGGAGGGAAACTTGGAGCTGTACGTGGCGTTCACTGTGTGGCAGAGGGCAGGAGCAAGGGCTGTCCACTGTTCTAGCTCCCCACTCCTGGCCAGACCACTGCCACTGTCTCAGGGCCCTGGTCCGGCCACTTCTAGAGTGACAAATGTAGAGGCCTGTGTGCTGGAGTGAGGGCGTCCTGAAGGCCAGCAAAACAGCCCGGAGAGCCATGCCTGGAGGATCGCTAAAGGAAGTAGGAGCCTCTGTCCCAGCCTCTGATGGGTTCTGACTCACCAGGGAAATACAGTTAGCAGGAGTGTCTAATACAAGGTGGAGTCGCCCTGCATTCAGGGAGGGCAGCCATGTTTATGTTGGATCTTTTAGGGACAGAATTTGAGAGACAGCCATTTATTTGGCCACTTGACCTTAGGAATGGCCCCGGCCAGGAGGGTTAAGGGGTGAGGCTGGGCCTCCATGTTTTGTGCAGCTCTGTAGCTGGTGAGCCCCTCTCAAAGCACCCCCATTCCCTATCTGTGTTCCTTCTTCAGGGCCCTGAGCACCCCAACCCCGGGAAGCCATTCACCGCCAGAGGATTTCCTCGCCAGTGCTACCTTCCAGACAATGCCCAGGGCCGCAAGGTAAAGGCCCCGCGCCACCCTTGGGGAGAGGCCCCATGTGCTGGCAGGCCTGAGCCCAAGTGCTGGTTCCAGTGCAAGGCCACTCCTTCCCAGGTGCCCCATTGTGGGCTAGGCATCCTCAAGGCACTGGGAGTCCTGGGAGAGATGGTTCGTACTTTACTGGGGCTCGAGAAGGGAAGATAGACCATCTTCTAGCCACCTAGTGGGCCAGGTTGTGCCTCTGCACTGAGACCTGAGGTGGGACTTTCCTTGCTCATGGGAGAGCATTCTAGGCAGACAGAACAGCTAGTGTGACAGCTTTGAGGTAGGAACAGGCTTGGAAGATGTGAAGAGCCTGAAGGAGGACCAGGTGGGTGAGGGGGGAGTGTGGTACTTGAGGAGGGGTAAAGGCAGGTCAGCGCCCTCCAGACCAGCTGCAGGAGTGGGACTTTAGTCTGAGCACTGTGTGATGCAACGAGGTGAGGGTGTCCAGCAGAGGAGTAAGAGCTGCAGGTTTTAGGTTTGAGAAAGCGCCTTCTGGTGCTGAGACGGGATGGACTGCAGGTTGCCAGGCGTGGAGAGCAACAGGGATGGGAGAAAGCAGGGAGGCCTGGATTCAATAAGGAGGGATAGAAGGGAGTTCATCCAAGGTGTATGTGGAAGTAGGGCATGATCTGGATGTTTAGGGGCTGAGTAGATGGCAGTACTGTCTTGAGGTGGGAGGGCCAGTTGTGGGGTGGGGCCAACACTTGAGTCATGGAGGTGCCCGGTGTGAGGTCCTGTTGGACTTTCAGATCAGCAGTTGGCCTTCCAGGGGGGTCAGGGCTAGAGCTATAGGCTGGGGACCCTCACAGATGGGGTTTCACACCCTGGGACTATGGATGACATCACTTAGGTGGCAGTAGAATCGAATGGAGAGGCAAAAGGGCTCAGCTCCCAGGGGCTGTGCTGGTGGGTTAATGGTACATGTTGACTGGACCAAGGACCTAGCACACGGCACTCTACAACCCACAGCTGACACTGGTGCATGGTTGGTGCTGCTGACCACATCTTTACCACGGGCAAATTAGGGGAGCGCAGTGGATGCTCCCACCCTGTCTTTTGGCCATCCCTGCCCCAGGGTGAAAAAACTTGTGAAGGCACAGGCCAGTGCTGGGATGTTCACCTTTCTTCTTCCCTTACTTCTTCCTTCTTCCTCCTGGGTTAGGTCCTAGAGCTGCTGAAGGTGGCCTGGAAGAGGCGACTTATCTTCACAGTGGGGACATCCAGCACCACAGGTGAGACTGACACAGTAGTGTGGAACGAGATCCACCACAAGACAGAGATGGACCGCAATGTGACAGGCCATGGCTACCCTGACCCCAACTACCTGCAGAATGTGCTGGCTGAGCTGGCTGCCCAGGGAGTGACTGAGGACTGCCTGGAGCAGCAGTGACCCATCAGCCTGGCAGCCAGCCTCCCCATCCCCACTGCCTGCTGGGCTGCCCCTGGGATGGACAGGCAGGAAGGTGCCTTTCGTCAGAAGCTGAAATGTTTGTTGGGGGTATGGGAGATTTCCACCGAAGCTGGAGCTTCTTCTGTTTGCCTTTCCTCCTTCCTCTTCCCCTCCAGGCCTATATCTGCATGGGAATAGAGCAAGCCTGGGGAGCTGTACTTATGGGGGCTTAAGATGCAGCTACCTCAGTGCTGGGGGCCTGGCATGGGGTGAGGAGAGACTGTCCCACCCCCAGCCAGGGGCAGGCATGGGTCTGGGTCAGCTTCTCATACCTCAGATGTTCTGTTTGCAATAAATGCCCAATAGCCAAAGTCAGCAGGCCCTGGTGCGTTTGTCAGTGGAGAGGCTTTGTGTGTGTTTGTGTGATATGTATAAAGGCCAACACATACATGTCTTGCTGTAACAGAGCAGGAAGGGACCTTATGGGCTGCCCGTTTGACTCCCATTTCCTAAATGAAGAAACGGAGGCTGCTGGAGAGCCCATGGCACTGATCTATGCTGCTTCCCCATCCCCCACTCCAGTTCTTGCAATGTAGAGTCCAGCAACGGAGAGTCTACCATCCCATTACTTTCCCAGGTTCTGGGGAACACTGCTCATGGGAGGAAGGTGCTGCTGCCTTCATTTTACAGATGGGGAAACAGGTTCAAGGGTCTAGTGATTATCCCTAGGTCCCAGCTAATGGTAGAGCCAGAGTTGGAATCCCAGCCAGGATTGGTCTGATATCCTCCTCAATGTTCTAATTCTTCTGGACCCTCTCAGAGGAGGATCAGATACTCCCAGACTTGCTGTCTCCTAAGGGGGTGGTGGTGCTTGTGGCCCGAGATGAGGGACACACAGGGCCACATAAGGAAAATAGTTAGTCCTGGCCAGGTGGTTCAGTTGGTTGGAGCGTCATCCTGTACACCAAAAGGTTGTGGGTTTGAGTCCCAGTTGGGGTGTGTACGGGAGTCAACTGATAAATGCTTCTCTCCCTTCCTCTCTCTAAAATCAATAAAAACATATCCTTGGGTGAGGATTAGAAAAAAAAGAAGAAAAGTTAAGTTCTGTTTTACGATGTATTGGTATAAAGGTGAATATATGTTAGAGTTTATTTTTTTCCTTCTGATTTTAAAAGAAATTAAGGCTTTTCCTGGGCCCATAAATGTATTGTGGGCCCTGGGCACTGCCCATTGAGCCTCATGGAGAGCTGGTCCTGGGGAGGGCAGGGAAGCCTGGCTCGACCCCCAACCTGTTTGGTTCCACAGTGAGACCTCCACTGGCTCACAGGGCACAGGAGTTGGATGGGCACCTGAGTGCCGCTGCCCTCTTGACTTCCACCCTTAAAGTGTAATGAGAATCAGAATGAGAGAAAATATTTGCAAATCATCTACCAAATAAGGGTCTAGTATCCAGACCATATGAGGACCTATCCAGACCATATGAGGACCTCAACAACTCAACAACAAAAAGACCCCCAATTTTTTTTAAAAAGCAAAGGACTTGTGAGGATTAACAACAACAAAAAGGAACATACCAAATAAACTTAATTTCTAAAAAACAATCAAATTAAAAATTAAAGGAAAAAAATTTTTAAAAAACAATAAAAAAGCAAAGGACATGCCTGGCTGTTGTGGCTCAGTGGTTGAGCATCGGCTTATGATCCAGGAAATCTTGGTTTGATTCTCGGTCAGGGCACATACGTGGGCTGTGGGCTCGATCCCCAGTAGGGGGCGTGCAGGAGGCAGCTGATCAATGACTCATTAATGTTTCTGTCTCTCCCTCTCCTCTCTGAAATCAAAGATACATATTTTTTAAAAACAAAGGGCTTTTCTCCAAAGAAGATAGATGGCCTATAGGCACATGAAACATGCTTAGTGTCATCAGGGAAACACAAAACCACAAAGTGATTCCACTTCACAGCCATGAGAATGGTTATTATTTAAAAAAAAAAAAAAGGAAAATACCAAATGTTTAGGATGTGGAGAAATTGGAGCCCTTATCTGCTGCTGGTGAGGATGTAAAATGCAGCCGCTGTGGGGAACGGTTGTGCAGTTCCTCAAAAAGTGGTTACCATATGACTAAGCAATTCCACTCCTATGATCATATCCAAGAATTGAAAACATGTACAAACCAAAACTTGTTCTTGAATGTTCCTAGCAGCATTATTCATAATAGCCAAAAGGTGGGAAAAACCCAACTACTCATCAGCTGATGTATGGCTAACCAGAATGTCTCTGCATACAATGGAACAACACTCAGCCATCAAAAGGAAGTGCTGACATACTGTACTGTCGATGGACCTTGAAATGTGCCAAGTGAAAGAAGCCAGACGTGAAAGGCTGCATACTGTGTGATTCCATTTATGTGAAATGTCCAGAATAGGCAAATCCAGAGGCAGAAAGTAGATGAGTGGTTCCCAGGGGGAGAGGGAATGGGGAGTGATTGTTTTAATGGGTACTGTGTTTCCTCTTGGGGAGATGAAGAGGTTTATATATATGTATGCATGTGTGTATATATGTGTGTGTGTGTGTGTGTGTGTGTAGTGGGGCAAAAGTAGGTTTATACTTGTGAGTATGTGTTTATTCTTGTATTATGTATTAATTATTGAACAACTTTTGCCCCACCCATATATATAGTGAGAACCAAAGGAAGTAATGTAAGTGGGGCGCTTGTCAGCTGTCAAGGGCTCTACACACCTTTCTGTAAGTTCTTCCTTTGGACAACAGGACTGAAGAACCAGGGAGTATGTGGCCTCGAGGAGGGAGGGCAGGGCACAAGATGGCAGCAGGGCCAGGCAGGCTTTGATGGGCCTGGAGCTGGACAGGTTGGGGGTGCTGTGATAGGGCTGGAGCTGGACAAGTTGGAGCTACCCCAGGCTTGCTCCTGGGTGGGGATAGAAGGCCAGAGGGTGTCTCCTGGCACCTGGGGTGCAGGAATCTCAGGCATGTGGCCCCAAGCCCAAGGTTCCAGAGACTGGTCTTCCTCCCCAGGGCTGGGAGGCTGGGTGGGGCCTAAATTCAAACATAGGACTCTGGGCTCTCCTTCAGCTCTGGCCTGCCCCACACCAGCGCCCTGCTCAGGCCCCTCCCAGTGGGGGATTGGGCTGAGGAGAGGGGTTGGGTTGCATTCACATTTTCAGGTCTTTCCAGCCCTTGGCCAGCCTGGCAGCCTGACTAACCAGCTCCTCCAGGCCCAACGTATTGGGGGAGGGGTACAGCCAGAGGCCAACAGACCAGCCCCAGGCTGCAGATGTGGTAGAATATGGCTGTCATGGGGTTGCCCCAGAGGCAGCCTTACCCATGGCTGCTGTTCCTCTTGATGGCGCTGATCTGGCCCCAGCCCTGCAGGAGCCTAGGTGAGTGGGGGTCCGGGGATTGGATGCACCTGGCTAGACCCAAGGGGCTGGGGCACCTGCTGGAGTGATTGGACCTTGGGTGCCCATGTCTCCTAATTGGGAGAGGCAGCCCCAGGGGAAACGGTCCCCAGGACCCTCATACCTATCTCCATGGCCACAGAGCTGATCCCCTACACACCGCAGATAACAGCCTGGGACCTGGAAGGGAAGGTGACTGCCACCACGTTCTCCTTGGAGCAGCCGCGCTGTGTGCTGGATGGTCATGCCAGTGCTGACGACACTGTCTGGCTGGTGGTTGCCTTTAGCAATGGTGTGTCACAGTGCAGGTGTGGGGCCTGGGGTGAGGGATGGGGCTGAGGAAAGCTGCAATGGGGAGCCCCTCACTGTGACCTTTGACAACTGGGCGTGGATTGGTAGTTGAGCTTTATGGAAAGAGGTCTCTGAAGGGTGACAAACCCTGCTTTGTGTCATAGGGGCCCTCTGGGGGCTGAGGCATGGAGGGCCAGGGCTGGAGGCCTTGGACCCAGCTAGGAATTGTGGTGAGGAAGGCCTGGCTTCACCTGCCCACCAGCCTCATCTGTCTCCCTCCTGCAGCCTCCAGGGACTTCCAGAACCCGCAGACACTGGCTGAGATCCCAGCTTTCCCACAGCTGCTGACCAATGGCCATTACATGACACTGCCCCTGTCCCTGGACCAGCTGCCCTGCCAGGATCCCATGGGTGGCAGCGGCATCCCTGTTTTGCGGGTGGGCAATGACCCTGACTGCCTGTCTGACCTCCAGCAGCCATCCTACTGCAACACCCCGCTCCCTGGCCCCGGACCTTATAGGTGGGTCTCTCTATCTGGAGCCTGGGATGGGGGCTATGCTGAGAAGGGAGGGATTTCAGGGACCAGGATTGCCCTCCCTAGCCTTTCCCCAGGCCCCATCCTGGCTGCAAGCTCTTCCCATTTGCAAGCCTTGGCTTCTTCCTCTGGGCTGGGGTTGGGGAGTTGGAAGAAGAGCAGCACTCACTGCAGCCATGGGCAGGCAGAATTCAACCTTTCCAGTGGGCCCAGGAGGAAGAGGTGGCACCATAGAGCTGGTGGGGGTGGAGTGGGTCTGCAGGGCTGCAGTAACTCACCCACTGTTTTTCCCACGGGTAGATCTGGTGGGAAACCAAGCCCAGGGCTGAGTTCAGCCCCAGTCAGTGGATATGAGGTGGGGAAGCAGGAGAGAAGACCACCACCCATTTTTACAGGCAAAGGAAGAGAGGCACAAAAGTGCCAAATGGCTTGTCGAGGTCAGGTTAGAGCGGGGGTGGGAAAGCAGGTGTTCAGACCAGGGGTGCCCGGGCCATAGGATGATGCCAGGTGTCCACAGGGGAGGCCAAGTTCAGCTGGGAGGACCACAGGGGTGCAGGGAAGGTAGTGTGGTGTGGGCTGGGGCAGCACCTCCATCCACAGCCTCCCTCTGCCCTCTCACCCAGTCCTGCCAGATCTACCTCCCTCCTCCCCCTCCAGGCCCACTCCCTGGCTTGGCCTCCATCTCTAGTAGCCACCAGAGCCAGCTTCCCTCAGTGTAAGCCTGCCTGAGTCTCTTGACGCTCAGAAACCTTCCAGAGCTCCCCAACCCCCACAAAGATACAACCTGAGCTCCTCTGCCCCACCCTTGGTTCCCTCAGTGCCAGCCTGCCCCTTCCCTGGGCTCCGAGTGCATTCTGAATATGCCCCTCCCTCCCTAGGCCTTTACCTGGGGTGCTCACCCCTATTGGGGGGCATCCCATTACTTCAGAGACTCTACAGGACCAGCAGTTCTCCACTGGGGGGCCTGTGGCCCCCTGCCTGTACACCCTCCTGAACAAAGGCTCACAGCTGGCCCAGAAAAGCTGCCTGGAGTCTGGCTGTGGTGGGCACCCTGCCTAGGGCAGTTGAGGCTCTGAACCTCATTGCTCCTCCTCTCCCCAGGGTGAAGTTCCTCCTGATGGACACCAGGGGCTCACCCCAGGCTGAGACCAGGTGGTCCAACCCCATTGCTCTCCACCAAGGTAGTGCTGGGGAGGGGGCATTTTGGCTCCAATCTGTTCCTTGTAGACTTACCACCCTCTGCAAAATGGTCATGCTCAGCTGCCCCCACCCTGCTTCCCGATGCCATGGGACTGGGGTCCTGGTGGCAGTATTCAAATCCAGCTGCCCCTCCACACAGAAATTGGTGTTGAGGGTGTGGGGCATGTGGCAGAGGCACTGACTCTGTCCATCCCCAAATGTTTGCCAACTCTTGGGTACCCAGGCCCCAGTTTCATGGGCAGAAACAGCCTCCACCCCCCACCCCCAATGGGGAGCCAGCCTGGAGCCCAGCACTGCTGGGTGAAGGGCCAAAGCTAGAAGGAGGCCAGTCAGTCAGGGCACAGGCTCTGGGAGGCTTCCCTCAGCAGGGCCCCAAGAAGCCAGCATGAGTCACCAGGCTGAGAACACTGCTTGTGTGAAGACCAGAATGTCCTGTGTGGGGGCTGCCTGGGAGATGGGCTGCAGAAGCCAGGGATGGGGGTGGGGGCTTATTGTTTGAAGGCCTTGTATGTCACGCTCTAGGGAACAGGGCAGCCAAATGGTCAGTCCCAAGGTCTGCTGCCGCTCTGCCTGCCATGGGTGTGCCAGGGGTTGGTGCATTGGTGGGACAACCTAGAAGGTGAGACCAGGGTGGAGGTTAGAGCGATGGGTGGTCCAGGCTACAGAGCACAGATGCCTGTCTGAGATGTACAGATGGGTGTGCTCAGGAGGCTGTCTGTGGACAAGAGACAGCCCGGCCTTGGGTATGAGCATGGGTGGAGGGTGACTGCCCTAGGGTCCCGGGACAGCCTCTGAGCAGCTGCTGTGTGTGCAGGGAAGTCCCCAGGCTCCATCGACACATGGCCAGGGCGGCGAAGTGGTGACATGATTGTCATCACCTCCATCCTCTCTTCTCTTGCCGGCCTCCTGCTCCTGGCCTTCCTGGCAGCCTCTACTGTGCGCTTGTGAGTGGTGACACTCCCAGGGCCCCCTTCCTCACCTGGAACCCCTTCCCTCTCCCCGACCCCTGAGCCTGGTTTTGAGCTGAGAAGTGTCCCTGGAAGAGCTGTGCAAAGAATTCCCACCCTGTTTATCTCCCCTGGGCAGTCAGAGAGGTGGTCCAGCAACTCCTCTGACCACAGACAGGTTCAGAGAAGGTGCCACCTTGCTCTGCCCCTATCCATTAGCGTCTTTTGTTTTGGCCCTTGTCCTTCTGGGCCTCATTTTCTCTCTAGTGAGCCCCCCTATCATTTCAGTGAACTGACACTAAGGTAATCAGGGTGGCCACCTGGAGGAGGCAGGCCTCCAGCTTATTCTAGAAGGAAGGAACGGGAGATCAGAGGCTACAGGAGGAGGGATGTGGGAGTGGGGAGGAGGCCCTGACATGGCAGCCAGCTTCACCCAACAGTGACACAACTTCTCCTCCTTTCCCTGTCCAGCTCCAGCCTGTGGTGGCCTGAGGAGGTCCCTGAGCAGCTTCGGATTGGCTCCTTCATGGGCAAGCGCTACATGACCCATCATATCCCACCCAGTGAAGTGGCCACCCTGCCTGTGGGCTGCGAGCCTGGCCTGGAGCCCCTCCCCAGCCTCAGTCCCTAACCCGGCCTATGTGCCTGGGGCTGGGGCAGTGTGTGGGGGGTGAGGGTAAAGTGCTTCTTCTCAGCCCTTGCACCCCCATGCCCCTCTCCCATCACACTTCCCCTTGCTACTAGCAGCCCTGACTGGCTTTCCCATTCTGACTGGCTTTTCCATTCTGTGAGCCGCCCCCACCTCCTCCAGGCAACTGAAGTTGCATGCAGGGGAGTTTGGGTGAAGGCTGTGGTCAGTCTGGGCATCTCGCCCCCCACCTCCATCCCTCCCTCTGTTCTGCCTCTCCTCCTGAAAATGAAGCTGGAGGCAATGTGGAAAGGCCACCCTGACTGGAAACTTCCAGGCCCCAGGAGGAGGTCTACAGGGGGCCTTGCTCTTTCCTGTGCAGGGAGCTGAACTGGGCCCATCATTGAGTCTATGAGGCCTGAGCCTCCTCTGTCCCTTTGTCCCATCTGCCAGTGTCTGGGGCTGCAGTGAAGTCTTCAGAGGCCCCTTCATTGTCCCTGGGCACAGGTCCTTCCTGAGGGTGGCTAGAACGTCAGACAGAGTATAGATGCACATTATGACCACCCAGCCACTGATTTGGGCCACTACTTCCACCCCCCTTGCACACACACAGGGATCACACACTTATCTACTCACTCTCACTCCACAGACATTTGTTGAGTGCCCTCTGCTTGCCATGCACAGTGTTAGACATGGGGCCTCAGGCAAATCTTGGGGAGCTCTCATTGCTCTGGACCTCAGATGACCACATGTCCAGATGTGACTTGTAACTGTTGGGAAGCTGTCACACCCTTAGGTTGTCACATACCCTTGGGTTCACACTCCCTCAGACAATCACCCCAATGGGCCCTCTAGGGTCTACTACCACCCCTCACTGCAGGACAGACTTCGTTCCCCAGGCATCCGTTTGCCCACAAGGCTGGTGGTACCTGCCGTGGCCACACGAGGGCGCCAGTGCACCGCAGCTGCTGCCGCACAGCCTCGCAGGCTGCCTCCTAATCTCAGACCAGCAGCTGCCACTCAGCAGGGTCTCTGGAGGTCAGGGCTCCAGGCCCCACCTCGACCAAGGTGGAGGGATAAGTCGTCCCACTCCCACTTGAGGGCTCACTGCGTGCCTTCCAATCCACACAGTCCCCAACTGTTTTCTAGATGGAGAAATTGAGGCTCAGTTGTGCTCTGTCCACAGCCACCCCACCCCATGTCCCCTGGCCACTTTAGCCTGACTACAGCGCTCTGTGGTGGCCTGCGGGCAGGAGTGCCCTCTCTTTTGAGGTGAATAAATGCTGTCTGGCTTTTCCATCTGAGTGGTGCCTGTGCTGGTTTCAGAAGAGGAGCATTTACACATTGGGGTCCAGCCAGCCCTTTCCCTGCCCAGCCCCGGGCTGCCCTGAGCCTGTCCCCTTGATTGCTAACCCTAATTGTACTTTGGGGGTGCCCCCACCTCCTGACGGGCCCTAGGAAAACCCACCCATGTATTGCAGAGCCAGGAAGCCAACTACTAAGCAGTTTATGTGGATTTAGTAGTGCTCCCTCCCAGGCAAACACTTTAGGGAGTCTTTGCTTCCAAATCCCCGTGCTCCTGGCTCCTGGTGGCCTTCCCTCTATCTTGCCTGCCCCCCACCAGCCACACTATCCTCTCCAGGCACAGACAGAGCAGAGTCAAATGCAGCCAGGAGCTCAGGCCCTGTGTCCTGCATAACATCTGGTCATGGGAGCCAGCCCCTTTGGGCAGCCACCTTTGAAATTCTACTGCTTTAGAGCCCAGTTCCCTATTGACTTACTGGAATTGACGGGGGTTAAAGGCGCCCCACCTCACCCTCACTGGTTACCCCTGGCAGAGTCTGTCTCACACTGTCCTGTTCAGACCTGGTTTCAACACCAGATGAAGAGGCCCTTGAGGCCCAAGATGCCCAGCTTGGGGCCTCCCCAGGAGGGGTCTGCTGGTGTTTGCTGAGTGAAAATATGAACAAACCCCACAGGGCAGGAGGATTAGCCAGGAGCAGAAACTGCTCCAGGCTCTTCCATGTCTCAGGGCCCTATTTGGCTTGTTCGTAGTGCCAGAATCTGTGCTGATCCTAGGTACAGCCCCAGTGACATCCTGTGCGTGCCTGGGCTGCCCCTAGTTTCTGAACAGCCCCCCATCCAGCCCTCTGAGGAGCTGCTCTCACCCCATCTGGCCACCCTGGGCTTGAGCGTAGAGACAGGCTCTAAACAGACTTTGCAACACATGGGTGGAGACTATGAAGGGAATGGAGAGCCCAGGGGAGGCAGCTGACCCCACCTGAGAGTGAAGAGGGCTTCCAAATGGTGATTTCTGACCTGAGTCTTGAGAGGCAAATGGAAGTTAGTCAAGTAGAGAGGAAAGGAGAGAGGAAGGAGACCATCTTGCCCTACGGTGGCATGAATGGTGCCTGGGGAGTGGGGGGTGTGGTGGCAAGAACTGGGAGCTGGGAGGCCAATGAAAGAAGCTGACCTGTTCTTCCAGGCAGGTGAACTGAGCCCTGAACCAGGGCAGACAAAGGGCATTGGAGAGGAAGAGGCGAATTCCAAAAATATTCAGGAGGTGGTAGGAGGAACTGGGGATTCCTAGATGTGGGAGATGAGGCAGAAGGAGAAGGCTCTGCCTGGATTTCTGACATGAGGATGGCTGTGAATGCAAAATGGGGGCCCTTTATGGTCTGAGGGTGGTTATATCACCCTAGCTTGCTTCAGCAGATCCCCAGAAAAGGGAGTACTGGGGATGTCATCTTAGTAGCTGGGTGAGTCCACAAGCTGTTAGTATTTTACAAAGATGAAAGCGTACCCTGGTCAGCAGGAGGCCATCCTGTGAACTGGCATGATTGTGGGTGCTCTGCCCCGGGGTTGTGCTAGCAAGCACCCCAGGGTGTCACAGACTCCACACAGCAAGGGGCAGTGGGATCAGTCATCTCCCAGCCCAAACACTGTCACGCTGAGCCCCAGCAGCTGTGCCAGGGCACTGTGCCCCGGAGTCATCAGCTGAACCCAGCCCTTCCTTGGCCAGCTCATGACAGCCCTGAGCGAGCACGTAGTGACAGCTGTGTTGTGGAGAATCTTTTATTAAATGGAGTTTTGGAAACTTTTATTAAATGGCATTTAAAATTTTCCCCAGGGCAGTGTTTGGGGAAGCATCTCCAAATCCATTGGCCCGTAACAATGGCTCAGTGGTTAAAAACAAGTCCATTGTTAAAAAGGAAAAAACAGCAATGATTGTGGGGGTGGTGACTCGCAAATGACTCATCAGACCTAAAATCAAAGGAATCAGAATGACAGCAGGTAAAAAGCAGGCAGCCTGCGCTCTCGCTGGGATGTCAGTAGCTGTCCCTTGCTGGTCTCCCCACACCAGTGTTCCTGCTCCCCACCTGCATTCTCCTCCCAGCATCCTGAGGGACCAGATTATAAACCTGATGGTGTCACACCATTGCTCACAGCTCTCGGAGACTTCCTACTCTAAGAACAGAATCTGGATTCAACATTTCAGTTGCAAGGCCCCATGATCCACCCCTTATCCCCTGTATTCCAGCCGCACAGACCACAGGACCTTTGCCTTTGCTTTTCTCTTGATGTAGAACACTCTTCCACCTTGCACCCTTCCTCTAGCTCATTCCCTTCTTCAGGAAGCCTTTTCGGATCCCTCAGCTCTCCTAAGCTGTGATTCTTTTCCTTCTCAGCACATTTTCCATTTTGCAATTAGACATTTAAGACAGGGAGCTTTTGCATCTTCCCCACTAAGCTGTGAACTCAGGAGGGCAGGGACTGACCATGTCTGGTTTGACATCAGGGTGCTCCCAGAGCAAGCACAGTGCCTGGCTCCCAGCAGGTGCTTAATAAGTAATTGTTGACTGAATGCTTTATAAAAGGCACTTTATACTCTTTTTAAAAAAAAGATCCGCTTCATGGAGATACAATTCAAATACTATACCATATACCTCTTTAAAGTGTACAATTCAACGATTTTATTATTCGCAGAGTTGTACCACTATCAACTTTAGAACATTTTAATCACCCCAAAGGAAACCCTGTACCCATTAAGCAGTCTACTCCCCATTCCTCTCCAACTTCTCTTAGTCCCTGGTAACTCCTTACCTACCTTCTGGGCATTTCATAGAAATGGAATCCCACAATGTGTGATTCTTTGTGACTGGCTCGTTTCATTGAGCACAATTTGGGGGGGAAAGGAAACAGGAGCCCTGACATTGCCTGTCGTGAGCTCTGTCAGTCACTATTCCTCTCACTTGGCTGAATCGTCTCTTAACCCTTTGTAACTGGCTAGAACTGCAAGCTAGTGCCTAGCCTTTGGGAAAAGCAGAGTCTCTCTCACCAGGACACATAGGACAACTATCAAAGGGGCTCAGTCTCCCCAGGGACCCAAGCCCCTGCTCCACCTCCACCCCCTGTATTCTCAGCTGCAAACAGCAAGAACCAACCTCGGAGAGTTGGGTGGGAAAGGGACATTCTGGAGGAGATTGGGGAGCTCCTGGAGGCTCTGAGAGCAAGGTTTGGAGATCACACCAGCAATCCCAGCTCAAAGCTGTATTTCCTGGCCCCACCATGGGAGTTTCGGCTCTGTTGCCTCTGGAAGCCGGGCTTGGTGGCCACTGCCCTGGCCAAAGTGCACTGACCACGGCACCCACTTCCTTGTTTGGTGTGGGTGCATGACTGGTGGGCACCCGGCTGCATAGGAGACTGGAAAGTCTCCCCCTCTGGCTGCTGCGGTGAGAGATGGGCTGAGCACAAGGGTACCCAGGTGTAGATGAGGGGTGAGTCCACCCGGAGAAGGGGCGCCCTTTTGTGACTCTCACAAAGATATCATATGGCTAGTGCTGCCTCTGAGGACATGTGTGGCCAGAAAGCAATGTCCCAGACATGAAGGAGTGGCAGGAGCGGGGCAGTCAGAAAGAATGGCACCCGTCTCCCACACCTAGGACCTTGAGGAGCTTATGTTGGTTGGTAAATTCCACTATAATAAAAGAATTTCATTAAATGCTGGGTGTTCTTGAGAGCCTTGCTGGGGTTTGTGACTGTCTGCCTTCTAGGAAGTCCCAGAGCCAGTATGGGAGAGAGGGAGGGCTTTTCTAGGGATCAGCCCTTGGGCCTGTCACACTCCACCCTCCAGCCTCAGTGTTCACATCTGCACATTGGGCAGCCAGGGCTGCTGTGAGTGGCCATGAAAGGAGGGGGTTGAAAGGTCTGACATGTAGATGCCCAATTAATGCATTTTTATATTTTCCTTTGAGATATTTTTTTGTTATTTTAGAGGAAGACAAAGCTGTCATTTTGACCACTGGTTGCTGCTGCCTCAGAGCTTCCCAGCCCCTCCCAGCATGGGGACATGAGGACCCTCTGCAGAGCTCGGCCCTTTGCCACTGTCCGTAGGAGGAAGCTGGGCCCAGAGAGCGTGTATCCAGCTCCTGGCCTCGAAGCCCAGCCCACCGCTCCCTGCCTCCTGGAGCTCCCTCCCCTGCGTGCAGGGCCTGTTATGGAGGGTGGGGCAGGCTCCACCTGCTCAGGAGAGACCAGCATGAAACTGGAGCAGAGGGACACCGCCACATCTCACTGCTCACTCTGCAGCCTACCTCCCCACCCCCAGAAGTCCAGGAGGGTGAGGAATGAGGTGGAGTCAGGGGGAGGGGGCAGTTGCTGGGCACCCACTACTGAGCAGGACAACGGGCCTAGAGACCTGACCCAGAGAGCCCAAGGCCACGCAGAGGCTCAGACCCAGTCCCTGTCCTCAGAAAGTGTCCCACTCACCAGGAGGCACACCCACTGTTCTAGACCAAATCTTGTTCCTCAAAATTCACGTGTTGAAGCCTTAATCCCCTCTCAGAATGTGACTGAATTTGAGATAGAGCCTTTAAAGAGAGAATTAAGTA